TGGCCAGCATCGGGCCTGGCTTATTAGCACAGGAATAAAATTTGTGTTTGGTCCAACGCAGGGCCCGTTCCGCCTCTGAAGAGGCAAGTAGGTCGAACTCTGCCGCCAGAGCGTCCCGAGCGCGTTTATGGGCCGCAGATGGAGAGGACTTCCAACGCGCATCCACAGAGGCCAGGAGAGAATGAAGCTCCAAAAGTCGGCGCTCCCGCTCCCGCTTCCGGACCGCCGCCAGCTGTATAACATGACCCCGCACCGTGGCCTTATGCACCTCCCATAGGGGCACTGCCGAGGAGACCGATCCCGCGTTTTCCGTGAAGTATGTTCGTAAAAAAAATTCTATTTGTTGGCAGGTAGCCTGAGTGGTCAATAAAGAATCATTGATGCGCCAATGAAAAGGGCGCCGTTCTGACCCAGAGAGGGCAAGGAGAAGTACCAAGGGATCGTGATCCGACCAAGGCGAGGAGGGAATAGTTATCCGCCTGACCAAGGGAAGCTGCGACTTGTCATAATTTCGAGTTGAAAATCTACTGTTTATTTCCAAACCGTCCAACTCCCATCGGTCACCCTGTACATCTAAAGGCTTCTGTATGACTGTGCAAACAAGTCCCAAAGCCAGTTAGTGCAGAGACAGTGCTGTCAGGCAGGACTAGGTGTGGCTTGGTGCTGATTGACAAGCTACAGGCATATGAATCAGTAGTGAAAATATTGCTAGTCACGGCCCTGTAACAGACATATCCTATTGAAGTGTAAGCAGGCACAGGCTGCGAGTGTGACAACACTGCTCTGAATTCAGGATCAGTATCACGCCATTACAGGAAGCTGCATTAGGTGGACATTACTGGCAGGATCAGCAGGTATTTGTGGGACTCTGCAGAGGATCTAAGAGAAAACTAAGTGCAAATGTAATAGTCAAATGCAGTAGAACATTTTGTTAAATGGGAGGCTGTAGTTCTATTAGGCTTGGCCCCTAAACAATTCTGCTGCAATGTGTACCAGGTAAGATGAGTATATGTGGTCAGGGGGTTATTTGCAGAGGCACTGCATGGGCAAAGTGACTTTTTTAGGTTGCAATAAAGTTTTGTTTGTTTGTTTAAAACAAAAAAAATTAAACACAGGCTTATACTTACCTGCTCTGTGCAAAAGAATTGCACAGAACTGCCTGAAACCTCCTCTTCTTGGATCACCCCCAACAGCGCTCCTGGCTCTTCCTCTTAAAAATGTTAAAAAAAAAAAAAAAAAAACACAAGCATAGGTGTACATTCTATTATGCCCCATGTGAATGAGGCTTTACTATGGGAGACCATTTTTACTTGCACAGTTGTTCCACACATCTACTTTCAGGCAGTCAGATTCAAGTCAATTGGCATGCAGTGGCTGTATGCCCTCAGCCACTGTTCACGATTTGTCATCCGTGTTGGTGCAGGTGTATGTCCCTGAACTCACATTGGTAAACAGTATGGTAACATTTGGGGCTGTGCACCTGTACCCACACAGATGTCAGATTGGGAGCAGTGGCTGTGTCCTTGCAGCATCCTAATTTACATGAATGAGACTGCCTGCATGGGGGATGCACAGAACACTTGAGCATCCCCATGCTCATAAACACAGCCCTCATGTTGGCGTACACTTTATGCTACTTTTACACTACTCCTATGCAAAAATGCAGTGAACCCGCATATGCGCTTACCCGATTTTTACTGCATTTCTGGTGCATTTTTCACCTGTGAAGGACGTGCAACTAGAAAACCTGCACCAAAAAATGCAGCCACAAGTGTGTTTGACACTTTCTCCATTCATTTCAAAGGGGAGGTGTGTTTTTGGTGCTTTTTTTTTTTTTTTACCGCACCAAACATGCAGCAAGCAGGACTTTGAAAACGCAATGGACCCACAACAGACAAATGTGAAGAGTTTCATAGATTTAATGTTCATGTGTTTTTCTTTCTGCTTATTCAAATGCTAAAACTGAAGAAAAACGATCAGTGTGAAAGCAGCCTTCGTATGCCCCATGTGAACGAGGCCTTAGTAGGGATTTAAAGGATAAACTCACCTTATCACAGTTACCGATTTTAAGGGTGGAACATGTAACATGTTCCCATAGCCACCCTCCTCCCTTCCTCTGACAGGTACTATCTGTCAAATTTGAAAACAGAGTGGCCATGCAGGGCTCTGCCCACATGGCCACGTCGCTCATTCACGGACCTCTGGGAATGAACGAACTGCAAGTCCTGACAGCCTTGGCATCCGTGGGCTTGTAGTTTTCAATTAACACGGTGTGGTGTGCTGTGGAATGCCATGGTACTTCATTGAAGCTTCCTGCCCCATTGCAGGGATTGTACTGGGGGAATTGCAAGTTCATTTCATTTTTTTTTTTTTTTAAAAAAAAAAAAAAAAAAACACACAACAGCACAGCAACCTGGTGATCTTTGATCTCTGTTTTTCAGGTATATCTGCATCTCTCAAAAGGCTGCCTACCCCTGATGTATTACCCTAATGCAGGGAATTCATGAAGGTAAAAATGTTTAGGAATTAGAACCACTTTAATTCCTGGTTTGCCTAATCTGATACTCAAGTTGTCACACTGCTAGAAATATCACGCAGTGTATAACTGATCCCTTTTGTGGACATTTTTGTATATGTGCGCTCCTCGTTCTAATACCAGCGGAGAAAATCATATAATATTTTAATTGGTGTTTTGAACGTATATTGAAGTCGAACACGATGGGGGGGGGTTTGCGGACAATGGGTACCAGCAGTTTAGCAGCTGATTTTACAGGAGAGAAAGCAGACTTCTACTGACCAACGTAATCATACTGTATTCTTTCTGCAGTATCATTGGCTTCAGGGATTACAGAACTATAACAGGCCTCGTTTTATCCAACATGTGACACAAGATAAATCAATGAAGGCTCATGATTAGTCATGTGGCTTTCTAGACCATAAGACGGTATAATGCGCTTCTAGTAGTGAGCCATACTAGAAAGGCTGAGAAATGTCTAACGCTGTAACAGAAGGCCTCAGTCTCTCATCCATTCACACTCAGACTAACATTTTCACTTAGCCTAGTTCGCCCCTACAGTGAGTCAATAAGCCTGCACAGAGGAGATCTGTGACTTTCAGCGGTTTAGTACATACAGGTTTGCTCTGTGATATCCTAATGACTGTTCATGAACATTCGTACTGAAAGACAACTGACAGAAGGGGTGGGGGCCTAAAGTGGTGTGCAGAGCTCACTAACCACTAGGTGACACTATCCCGATGGCCTATGTGTACTCCTTCCCACTAGAGAACAGGAGGATCTGCCGCTGATCAATGAATGGCCATGTGCAACTGAATGCCATGTACTACAGCAGAAGGTTGCAACCTTTTTTCAAATAGAAAAAAATGTAAGTCTGCAAATCTTGAGGTAAAGCAATCCCGTGAAAACGTGAATTAAACCTTAATTTGGTGTAAAATGTTAAAGAAAGCTAGCAAGAAAAAAAATGAAAAAATTCTCCTACTTCTGAGGTGCATGAGGATAAAGATGTGTGTTTGCTCCCATAGTAGGGCCAACAATCAATGTGTTTTTTTTAATTTTTTTGTCCTACCCACACACACTGACACCACCAAATATAAAACCTACAGTATTTTTCCCCTACCCAACGCGACTTTCACACTAACAAAGGGGCCCAATACTGATTATAAGCGAGAAGCCCAGTGGGGGTTCCCAGCAATTAGCTGCAGGAGGAAGTCCCATTGAAAGCAACAGTAGGCAGCTGGCTCCTGTTAGCGTGTAAATCGCTCATGCGATTACTTGCAGTGATCTGCCCTGGTCACAGTCTGCATCCAGGGCTGATCACTCACAAGTGATCACTGCAAGAATGCATGCGAGGGGCCACAATTAGATGCGAGAGCCAACAGCCTCCTACTGCTTTCTTGGGGACTGCTTTTCAAAGCTAAATCGCCAGGAATTCTTGAGTTTCCCCCTTCCTCCGCCGCTCCTGACTCTTCCCCCTTCCGAGTGCCCCCATAGCAAGCTGCTTGCTATGGGGGCATTTTTGCGGGATTGATCCCAAGCTGTAATGTATGTCCATTGACATGCATAGTGTGGCTTGGCCCCAGAGCCGCACTATGCGTGTCAATGGACACACATTGCAGCTTGGGATCAATCCCACAAAAATGCCCCATTAATAAATCACTTTAATGCATCTTTCTATCCTCAGAGGAGAAAACAGTTCAGAGGCAGGTTCAAGCACTGATTATAGTGATTATAGAGACTGACTGATCACAAATTGGGATCTGATCTTATTGTTAACCCGAGATTAGAAACAGTCAGTGACAGTTTAGTTTCTGTGCTTGGGGTACATGATCATAACTTCCAGTGCAAACAGATCACCCAGGTCCATATATATTTGGACACAAGCACAATTTTAGTTTTTTTTTCAGGTATTTACCAAAACATATTCAAGCTATAGTTATATAATGGATATGGGCTGAAAGTGCACACTCAGGTTTAATTTGAGGGCATGTACATCCAAAGAACAACTGAAGACAGCTGCCGTTAGAGCCTGGCAAAGCATCAGAAAGGAGGAAACCCAGTCTTTGGTAATGTCCGTGGGTTCCAGACTTCAGGCAGTTATTGCCAGTAAAGGATTCTCAACAAAGTATTAAACATTTTATTTATGACCATATTCAATTGTTCAATTACTTTTGGTCCCTTGAAAAAGGGGGGGGGGGGGGGGGGGACAGCTACTCTTAAGAGCTGTACTTCCTAAACCCTTCCTCCAATTTGTATGTACATAACCTCAAATTAAACCTGAGAATGTGCACTTTCAGCCCATATCCATTATAGAACTATAGCTTGAATATGTTTTGGTAAATACCATATTTTTCGCTCCATAAGACGCACTTTTTTGCCCCCCAAAAAAGGGGGGAAAATGTCAGTGCATCTTATGGAGCGAATGTAAAGCGGCCGGTCCGCTATTTCTGCCGCCACCATGCCAGAATATCGGGCCGGCCGCTCAGCTCTTCTCTCCTGCAGAACCTTACCTGTTCCTCGCTTCAGTCTTCCCGCGGCGGCTTCTGTGACAGCCGGTGGTGCCCACTGCGCATGCGCGAGAAGCGAATGGTCCGGTGTCTTCTGGGGCACATCACAGGTCCCAGAAGGCTCCGGGCCATTCACAAAGCACAGCGCTTCTTGGGCATGCGCAGTGGGCACCCGGCTGTCACAGAAGCCGCTGTGGGAAGAAGGAAGGAAGGACAACTCCGCGGAAGTGGGAGCGGGTACCTGTCAAATTCAGGTACCCGTTCCCCCTCCCTCCCCAAAGGTCCGCAGTCTCTGGTAATCTCCTTTACTGTCCGCAGTCTTTGGTCATCCCCTGCACTGTGTCCGCAGTCTCTGGTCATCCCCTGCACTGTGTCCGCAGTCTCTGGTCATCTCCTGCACTGTGTCCGCAGTCTCTGGCCATCTCCTGTACTGTGTCCGCAGTCTCTGGCCATCTCCTGTACTGTGTCCGCAGTCTCCGGTCCTCCCCTGTACTGTGTCCGCAGTCTCCGGTCCTCCCCTGTACTGTGTCCGCAGTCTCCGGTCCTCCCCTGTACTGTGTCCGCAGTCTCTGGTCCTCCCCTGTACTGTGTCCGCAGTCTCTGGTCCTCCCCTGTACTGTGTCCGCAGTCTCTGGTCCTCCCCTGTACTGTGTCCGCAGTCTCTGGTCCTCCCCTGTACTGTGTCCGCAGTCTCTGGTCCTCCCTGTACTGTGTCCGCAGTCTCTGGTCCTCCCCTGTACTGTGTCCGCAGTTCATTGGTTCAGAATTTTTTCTTGTTTTTCTCCTCTAAAACCTAGGCGCATCTTATGGTCAGGTGCGTCTTATGGAGCAAAAAATACGGTACCTGAAAAAACTAAACAAAATTGTGCCTGTGTCCAAATATATATGGACCAGTATGTATATATGTATGTATGTTGCCGACATCAAGGGTGCCTTTTGCTGAATGGCACTCGTAACAAACCCACACATGGCACTCTGGACAAAAAAGGTGCACTACACTGGAAATCAGGATGCATTCTAAAGCAGCCTTTCAATCAGGGTGCCTTCAGGTTTCTTCAGGGCTGCTATGGCAAAATGCCTAAAAATTGCTAAAAAATTGTATACAAGTCTTCAGGTGAATCAAACCTTCCTTTTAGTTACACAAAGCCATTGGTTTTCGTTATGCACCAATATAACCTTCTTGCTGCCAGTGTCCCAATAACCAATGTCATTGGTTGATAAGAAGGATGTCAGGCACCTGCATCGTATCCTTGATTGCCCTTCTCCTGCCCTTTTCCCTTAGCAAGCGGGGCACATTAATTGCAGGAGAAGAAAAACATTGGAATACTAGTCAGTACCAAGGTGCAAAGGTGTATTTGCTTTGGAAGAATCAAATCAGCTATAATGTTGGGTGCCCCATGTGTGTGGACTTTGCTGTGTTATGTACATTTCAGAATGGGGTGCCTCAAGATTGTGCATAGTTTTAAAGGGTGCCAAAACTGACAAACCGTTAAGAAACACTGTTCTAGAGTGTTAGAGACATATATACACACACACCACAGAAGCACACACTTGTTTAAAAAAATGTTTATTTCATGGTTGACCTGATATTATACAGGCATGCACGATTTATATCGCTTGACGCACGGGACATGCAGTCCCAGGCACGGGGCAGGTGGGCTTTTTGGGGGGCGGGGTTTAACATTTAGCCATGCTGCAGACAAGCAGCCTCTTTAGCCTGGGTTCAAAACATATGTGTAATGAAATCACAATGTCATTCCAGTCTGTGTGATTTTAGTGCAGGTACGATTTTGCCGGCTCTCTCCCCACAACTGTCTCCCATTGACTTCAATGCAAAAACTTCTGTCAATAACGATCATATGTGAACGCTTATCTCCGAATGCCACTTTACTCTACGACTTGTGAGTTTGGAATGCACTGCTACAAACTCGCACCCTTTCATAATGGCAGTCAAAACACAATGCGTGTGGATCACATCTGTGTGAACCATCTCAATGGGAATATATAATATCTAGCCTGTCATGCGAATCTGTGCATTTGAAAATGCATCCAGGATTGCATGTGTTACCCAGGGCAGCTCCATTCACATCTGGGCATTTTGGAATCCCGGCAGAATCGCTGATATTCTTCCGGTGTTCGCAAAATGCAGGTCCAATTGCCATTATTTTCAATGGCGCCTAAAACGTGGTGTGGTTTTGCAGCAATTGTTGCCCCAAATCACAACGCGTGAAGCTGTTTGCCCAAAAAAGGCTCCTGTTACTTTTTGGACAATAAGCATCATACGATTGTCAAGCAGCAAAGCGAACGGCAATCGCAGCAAAACCGCACCCGTATTTTAGGCGATATTGAAAATTACACCTGAACTTGCATTTTGTGATTGTAGTGCGTTTTGAGATTGTGGGCAGAATCACAGCAATTCTGCTGCAATTTTAAAATGCCCAGGTGTGAACGAGGCCTAACAGAGCGGACACTGGTCCTTAATTTGGCTGTTCAGAAGGCACTAGTACTGAGCCACCAAGTGCTTTGCTTCCATGTTCCTCATTGAAGCCAGTGCCTTACTCACTGAGCATTAAAAGAGCCTGACACTGCCCTTTCCCGACAAGCACCCAATCGGTGTTCATTACACTGCAAGGTCTCTCTCCTCCATGCTAGTTCCCGGGTGCAGTGCTGGAGACTGGCAGAGAGGTGAATAGGATATAAACATTTAATGTTTTTTACATTGCGCTGTTTAAGTCGCCATAAAGCCCCTTTTGTTTTTAAAAGAACCAGACAATCCTAAACCCCTCAGATTTAAATACGATTTGGTTAAAATTTTTTTTTTTTTTTTTTTTTTTTTTTTAATCAGGACAAGTAGATTGTCATGAGGGACAAGCAGATTGGGACCCTGATTTAGTCTCCTGGACAAGTGTTTTTTTTTTTTTTTTTAAATTTCCACACCCCTGCTCTGATAAACCCACTACAAAGTAATTGAGCAAGATGTAAAACACTCCAAAGCGGCAGTATGATCCACTAGGTGTAGGCTATTTACTGGACATAAAGTTAACATTTGATCCTTTTACTGGTACAAGCAGGACTTAACCTGCTTGCCTACAGGGCACTTATACCCCTTTCCTGCCCAGGCCAATTTCCAGCTCTCAGCGTTATCACACTTTGAATGACAATTGCGCGGTCATGCAACACTGTACCCATATGAAATTTTTATCTTTTTTTTGTGACAGATAGAGCTTTATTTTGGTGGTATTTAATTACCTCTGGGTTTTTTATTTTTCGTAGCTTCCCTGGCGGTATTCTTGAGTGTAGCTTGGGGTAAAGTTTCAGTACCACAAGCGGTAACCCCGAGCTACACTCAGGCTTACAATGCGGCGCTGCTCCGCGATCCCTCAGGCTACGTTCACACTAGCCTTGTGTGCAGGCGGCAGAGAGGCGTTTGGGAAGCGTTTTTACCGCTTCCCAAACGCCTCTGCCAATTCTGCACATTACAGCACATGGTGCTGTTCTAACGGGAGCGTTTGCGTCGCGGCAAAACGGACGCCTCTGGTCGAGTCAGGAGGCTTTGAAGCCTCCTATTCTCGTCTATGGTGCCGCTCCGCAAACGCCCGGCCGGCGTTTGCGGTGCAGTTGCGGGGCGTTTGCGGAGCGGTAACACCACTCAAACTGTATTATAGGCTTTTGTGGGGCGTTATTAACGCTCGGCAAACGCTTAGCAACCGCCACTAAACCACGCATGCGTCGTTTGCGGAGCGTTTGCCGAGCGTTACTAACGCCCCACAAATGCCGGATCAACGCTTGCCAAACCCTATAGGGGCATTTGGCAAGTGTTGGTAAAACAGTCAAGTGTGAACGAGCCCTCAATCACTTACCTTGTCCTGCGCTCCTGCGATGTCCTTCCTGCAGTGTCCCCAGCAATGTAATCCGGCGGATGCCGGCATCTGTCATCTGGGTTCCGTCCCCTGCGAGCGTTGGGACGTATGGGGACGGAACGGCGGGAAATTTGAAAATGACAAAAAAGTGACATTCACTAAAATCACATAGTAAAACATTACTGTATCAAGCCATTTCACATACATTTTGTCCCTAGTGCTTTGTCCTGTGCCCTGCCTGCATTTTTACTGTTCTTTCTGCCTGGAAACTGAGAAATGTCCATGGCGTCCAAAAAGCGTCCCTTTATGTCAAAAGCGGTTTTAGACCAGCTAGAGAACAGCGATAGTAAATCAGAACTACTTGCAGAATTGAGTGATAATTATTTGTGGGGAAATTCGTCAGACACTGAAAACGATTTTGCGACTTTGCTCAGGGATGTGCGAACTTAGCGCTAAATTTCAAATTTCAGTGTTTTTGGTTTGATTATTTAATTAAATTTATTATTATATTTTTTTATGATTATTTATTAAATTATAATTTATGATTTTGTGTTTCAAGTTTTATCCTACCCGGGATGTTTACTAGACTCTTATTCGGACAGATTTCAGTGAGTTATTCCTAAAAATGACAGGCCTACAGTAAAAAAAAAATACACATTTCCATGCAAAAAAAAGTACCGCTTTGAGCACGGAAATATGGACATAATCAGACCGCTAGGGAGGTTAAACCAAAAAACACTGAAAATGTGGGGGGGGGGGGGGGGGGGGGGGGGGGGGGGAACAAAACATTTTTTCTTAGTTTTTGTTATAAAATTTTGTAAATAAGTGATTTTTCTCCTTCACTGATGTGCGCTAATGAGGCTGCAGTGATGGGCACTGATAGGTGGCACTGATGGGCATTGACAGGCATCACTCATATATGGCACTGATAGGCAGCACTGACTGCCACTGTTAGGTGGGACTGGCACTAGGCAGGACTGGCATTGATAGATGGCACTGACTGGCACGTGGCACTGTTCAGCACTGACAGCTGGCACTGCTGGGGCCACACTGATCATCAGGGCACACTGATCATCAGTGCCCTGATGATCAGTGTACATGTCCCCTGCGCGGAATGCCGACAGCTCGAGAGGAGAGAAATGCCGATAACCAGCATTTCCCTGTTTACATGTGATCAGCTGTGATTGGACACAGCTGATCACATGACCGAGCCGACATCTTCGGCTCTTTCCGTGGATCGGTGATCTGCTGTCTCCGAGGGACACAGATCACCGCGCTGCGCGCTCCCTGAGCCGCGCATGCGCGGTGAGAATGGGAGGACGTCATATGACGTCCTCCCAGAACAAGAGAACCACCTTGCGCCCGTCATTGGACTATATGGCGGGCGGGAGGTGGTTAATTTAGCAAAAGCCATACATTTATCTAGAAGGATTAGCATCTCACATTCTACAGGTGCATCTCTAATTAGAATGTCATCAAAAAGTGAATTATCAGTAATTCAATTAAAAAAGTGAAACTCAGATTCTTTACACACAGAATGATACATTTCAAGCATTTCTCTTAATTTTGATGATTATGGCTTACAGCTAGTGAAAACCCAAAACTCAATGTGTTAAAAAAAAAAAAAAAAAAAAAAAGGATTTTTAATACATAAATGTTGGCTTACCGAAAAGTAAGTCCATGTACAGTGTAGTATTCACTCACTTGGTCGGGGCTCCTTTTGCATGAATTACTGACTCAATGTGGCGTGGCATGGAGGCAATCAGCCTGTGGCACTCTTATGGAAGCCCAGGTTGCTTTGATAGCGGCCTTCAGCTCATCTACATTGTTGGGTCTGGTGTCTCATCTTCCTCTTGACAATACCCCACAGATTCTCTATGGGGTTTAGGTCAGGTGAGTTTGCTGCCCAATTAAGTACAGTGATACAATGATCATCAAACCAGGGATTGGTACTTTTGGCAGTGTGGGCAGGTTCCAAGTCCTGCTGGAAAATGAAGTCAGCATCTACATAAAGCTGGTCAGCAGAGGGAAGAATAAAGTGCTTTAGAATTTCCTGGTAGAAGTCTGCGCTGACTTTGGACTTGAGAAAATACAGTGGACCAACACCAGCAGATGACATGGCTTCCCAGATCATCAATGACTGTGGAAACTTCATACTGGACCTCATGCAACTTGAATTCGGTGTCTCTCCACTCTTTCTCCAGACTCTGGGACCTCGATTTCCAAATTAAATACAAAATTTACTGCTATCCGAAAAGAGGGCTTTGGACCACTGAGCAACAGTCCAGTCTTTTTTCTCCTTAGTCCAGGAGAGACAAGGAATGCGACAGTTGTAGCTCATGTCCTGGATACGTGCGTGCGGGCTCTTTAAGCACTGACACCAGCCATAGTCTACTCCTTGTGAATATCCCCCAAATTCTTGAATGGCCTTTGCTTCACAATCTTCTGCAGGCTGCGGTTGTCCCTGTTGCTTGTGAATAGCCAGCTTCTTAAGAAATGACCTTTTGGGACTTACCTTCCTTGTGGAGGGTGTCTAGGACTGTCTTCTGGACAACTGTCAAGTCAGCAGCCTTCCCCATGATTGTGTAAACTACTGAACCAGAGACCATATAAAAGGCTCAGGAAACCTTTACAGGTGTTAAGGAATTAATTAGCCGTGTGACACCATGAGTCTACATACAATATTGAACTTTCACATTCTAATTTTTGAGATACTGACTTTTGGGTTTTCACTAGCTGTAAGCCATAATCATCAAAATTAAAATAAATGCTTGAAATATATCACGGTGTGTGATGAATCTATATAATATAGGAGTTCCACTTTTTGAACTGAATTACTGAAAAATAAAAACCTTTTGATGATATTCTTATGGAGATGCACCTGTACAATGACCAGAGATGTATATCCTAAAGCAAAATATGTTCCATAAAGACACCAAAGAATAGTAGATTGAGGAGAATGTTTTTTTTTTGAGGCAAACACTACAATTGTCCCTTTAAAGAAGAAAAGGAGTCTCCACTGTGTATTACAGTCTTTGGAGTGTCATCCAAATATCTGTGTATGCATATACTGTGATAACCAGTCGTTTCTACATGAAACCAAAAAGGTCAATTAAAAATTACATCTAACTACCTCAATCCCTCACTACAAAGCCGTACAATGAAGAGTTCAGAGGTTTGAAACAGAGCTGAAAGTGGACTTCCTTTGTATTTGGGGCAAGTTAGGCCTACGCAATTTTCTTTTATATCAAAGCCGATGTCCACAGTGACAATACTATTCATCCATTCTTTGACAGATCACAACAGAATGTATTTATTCACGCAACAAAGATACAATATACAGAACAAAGATGTTCAAGGCCGAAACAAGAACACAAAAACAAAGCAGTTCTTGTAGTTGTTGCAATGCTAAACAAAGCTGTGTATTCGCAAGAAAGATTTCAATAACACCAGCTGAATACAGAGACATCAAATATTACATTGAGAAAAGTATAATCATTTTCTCAGCATGTACAATAAGTCCTTTATATCATGGGAAAGGTAAGGCAACACCACACTGTAATGGTTTTCGAATCCTTGCCAGAGTCAGGCGACACAAACTGCTTACAAAAGAAGCGCCTTCTACCGCCCTTCCCTGGGGCTACACGTACAGATGAAATTCTAGCACACAGATAACAGGCTCTCCGAGGCAGATCGCTTTCAGCCTCAACACAATCCATGGACTTTTTTCAAAGCCAGTGAATGCAGTGTGAGGACCGTAAAAGTTTGATAAGGGTGCATGGAAAAAAAAAATTACTATATATCCATTTTAGGACCAGGCCTCTACTGACACTGTACGTGTGTGTTTTTGGGGATTCTAAGTATTTTCTAACATACATTTTTACATGTAAACACACACACATATATATTTGGGATGCACAGATATACCGGCAGCCGAAATGTATCGGCCGAAAATAGTGTTGTCACTGATCTCTGCTCAGAGTGGCAGGGAGAACTGAGTGATCAGCGGTGTCTGATCCATAGAGACAGCAGAGGACAGATGCAGCTTTGGTTCGATGCTGCAACCACCTAGGTAAGTATGAAAAGAAAAAAAAAAAAAAAAAGCCCTCCACTGCCAGGACGACAAAAGTAAAGCCCTAACTACCATCATGTGCTTAAATTTCACATGGAGCGACTAAGACGTGTGCTGCGGGGCCGTGGAGGTGCATATATTCAGTTACACCAGCAATGATTTCACAGGAAAATAAGGATCTTTATCTGCATGCCTTGGTCTAGTGATAATCTTGTCCTTTATTTACAAAAATCAATGAGCATCAAAAGCTGATATTTTTTTGGGGACCTCGTTACAAACTTTTCTCAAAAGTGATGCATTAACATTCCAGTAGCATGCTAAACAATCAGCTTTGTAATCCAGCCCGGTAACACATTCACCTATTAGGATGATTTATGTAGACTGCCTCAAATACAGGATTTGAGAGGCGCATAACGCTTTTTTTTTTTTTAATAAAAGACAAATAAACTAAACACACAATGGGTTCAAACTAGTTGTGGGGGGTATGAAGCTATTCTGACATTCCAGCTTTGTACTTGAGATTCTGACTGGTTGTTGGTATCGTTTACGCTCATTTTGTAATGTACAGCGCTGAGCGAACTATTGGCGCTTTATAAATACTGTATAATAATTAATCATTCAGGTATCACTGTCTTGCAGAAATAATCCTGCGAGGTGACAGAATATTCGTTCGAGATGCCTGTTGGTTTATGTCAATAAATTACAAGATTATGACTATACCAGGATGTGCTGGTGAAGATCCCATTTTCCTACACTGTATGGTAGCGCCATCCACCAATTCACCACAGTACCCAGCATGAACTGTAAGCCAGCCTTCTCAAGCTTTTTAACAGAGGGGAATTATCTAAATACTTTTCTGGTCTCGGGAAAACCCTGTATTGTACCATACTGTAGCCACAGCTCACAGTACATTACTATGATGGTCCATGTGAAGAATGTTCCTTATACTTTTGGTCAATTGGGAAGCATCCTCCCCCCAACCCTCATCACCCCCTCCCATTATAGATCGCTAAAAAGATCACTGGTTTCAGTGGTTACTTATCTGAGAGGAAGAAACGGTTCACTGCTCAAAGCACCCCCAGCAATCTCTGGTGAACCTTAAAGTGGTTGCAAACCTCACACTGTATATGAACAAAGCATATCCCTCTACAGTGTGTTCTTGTCTGAAGAGCACTAAGTGTAATTTCTGTCTGCTGCTTTGTTCAGCATGAATCACTTCTGACAAGTCTTACTGACATCAAGAGATACAAAAGGTGACAGGGAGGGAGCTACAGTGCACAGCCTGCGATTGACAGCTTCAGCTTTGTTCCTGTGTAAAGGGGGGGGGGGGTCTCTTCCCTCCAATCAGCTCTCAAAGTTCTCCCTGGACTAGAACAGATATAGAGGAGAGAAGACTGCAGATGTGGCTACACATACAACCCCAATTCCAAAAAAGTTGTTGTGCTGTGTGAAAAACAGAATGCAATGATTTGCAAAACTCATAAATCCATATTTTATTAATAGAAAACATCAAATGTTAAAACTGAAAAACAATGTACCACTTTAAGAAATATGGATATTTAGAAATTGATGGCAGCAACACATCTCAAAAAAGTTGGGACAGAGCAACACAGAGCCGGCAAAGTAAGTGGTACTAACAAGAGATCACTATAAAAATATTTTGCAACTGATTAATTAGCAACAGGTCAGTAACATGATTGGGTATACAAAGAGCATCAGGCTGTCTCAGAAGTAAAGATGGGCAGAGGTTCACCAATCTGAAAAGTGGTGTAAAAAAAAAAAAAAAAAAAAAAAAAAAAAAAAGAAACGTCAAACAATTTCAAAATAATGTTACTCAATGTAAAAATTGCAAAGACTTGAAACGTATCATCTACCGTACAGAATATCAAAATATTCTGAGAATCTGGAGAAATCTCTGGGTGCAATGGACAAGGGTAAAATGTAATATTGGGCAGCACAGTGGCCAAATGGTTAGCAATTCCGCCTGGCAGTACTAAGGTCGTTGGTTCGAATCCCAGCCACGGCACCACCTGCCTGGAAGTTTGCATGTACTCCCTGTGCCTGCGTGGGTTTCCTCCAGGTACTCCAGTTTCCTCCCACACTCCAAAGACATGCTGGTAGGTTAATTGGATCCTGTCTAAATTGGCCCTAGTA